AAGGCACTGGCTCCATCCCAGAGCTACCGCCAATACCTCGATCTATCCCAGCATCAGCGACTGCAGGTACCGGTGAAGCCTCAGGTTTGTGCCATAGCAGCATTATTACCTACGAAAACACATGTATGTACATGTACAGAAGTAGACACGGTCATGCAAACGGCACTCCTAGCACTGTCTTGACTTCGAAGGCACGGGCTCCATCCCAGCATCCCCAATATCCCGATCCATCCCAGCATCACCGACTGCAGGTGCTGTTGAGGCCTCAGGTTTGTCTCAATAGCATCACTGCATTACCTGCAAAAACACATGTACTCCATGTATATGAGTATACACGGGCATGCAAGCGGCACTCCCAGCACTGTGTCTTGACATCGAAGTCACGAGCTCCATCCCAGCATCACCGCCAATATCCCGATCCATCCCAGAATCAGCGAGTGCAGGTACCCGTGAAGCCTCCGATTTGTACATGTGTCCATAGCGTCATTAAATCGATACACCCGGCAAAACACATGTACCCCTCATGTATAGAAGTTCCAGCAAGGCACCGGATCCATCTCAGCACCGTTTCCTGGGCCCGGACTGTTGGCAGCCTTAGCTGCGAAAGCATCTGAACCACCGGTGCCATCGCATTTTTTTGATTGAGGCTTCCTTCTGGTTGACATCCCACAAGCGCTCAGCGACAAATTCTCTCCCCACACAGTCTGTATTTATGTAATTATAATACATACCACACACGAAAGAAAGTACCACTGCACTTGTACAATATTGCACACAACACACCCAAAAACCCAGATCTGGGTTTGGGGAAATGGACCATCTAGAATGCAACACATTCTTGCACTCCAAAGCACCCGGTTCGCCTCCGCGGTAGTCACCAGGTCGCGGGCCTCATGCATGGTCAGCTAGCATGATAAGATCTGTATACATTTATAAGCACGAGTACACATGAGAACAGATGTCCTCCTCCTCGACAATCGCAAGCGACAACTCGGCTGCAGCTACAACCTCGATCAGAATATGTACAAGTGGATACCATGCATGGACTGCCCACACGTGCATCCCAGGAACATCCAGCTCAGAGTTCAAATCATTGGCCTCAGTACTATAGCATGCAAACATAGATGTGTGCATAAATCACTGCTGGAACTGCGGACACACAACTCTACTGACTCTTACCGTCCAGGCACCAATTTCCCAAGGTCCTCCTCATCACGTACCTTAGGCCCAAGGAGCTCGAGCACATGATGCATGATTCATCACTACGTATACGAGCATGCTAGCACTAGGGTCTACGGCTTCTTAGGATTGGCGATCGGGAATATATTTTATTATTGCACATACATAATAATGATCGAATACAATCCACGTGGCCTCAGCTCTCGAAGTCGAAGCATCGGGGCCCTTGCGTGCAGAAGTGCGGCTGGCATGTATATTATTATATAAGTGATTCACACATTTCGTCCCCCTGGCTTTTCAGTCCTTCAGCAGCCAGTCGGGCAGCTCTTGAATCCTGAAAGTCCCATGGTGTCGATGGCGTCGATCCTCCTGAAAACGGTAAATCTTGCGATTTTCGAGGTTGATGAAAATGTTCCAGGGGCCCCATCACAATGCAGCCGTGAGTCCAGTTCCCGGTTCAGCAGATCTTTCTGTCTGATGGTCTCCTGTATCGGAACTACATGAAAAAACCAAGGTCGTGCTTCATTCATCATGATCTTAACACCACTCGTTCTATCCTCGTCAGCTTCAGGAGCATCCTCGTTGTCACTGCAGACGGTGACCAGATTTGACCCAGCATCTTGCTTCCCAGCCTGCTGCGGATGGAACACGGAACCCACATGTACAGTAAACCCACGAAAGCCCTAGACTAGTCTAAAGATAACTAAAGCAACTATTTTGTGCACCTGGCCATGCAACTCGAGAAGTGGGCAATCGGCATTCACACCCAGAGCGTCCTGAATTTGAAATATGTTTTCAATAGATCAGCAGTTGAAACCCCGGCAGCCCCATTACAATGCAGCCGTGAGTCCAGTGCCCGGTCCAGCTCCGCTTTCAGTTGGATGGTCCCCTGGATCGGATCTACATGAAAACTCAAGCTTAAGGTTTTGCTTCATCGATTCAATACCACTCGCACTGACCCCTCCTCATCAGCTTCACGATCATCCTCGCTGTCGTCATCGATGATCATCTGTGACCCATCGTTTGGCACTCCAGCCTGCTGCGGATTGAAACCCGCGTAAACCCAGGAAACCCTTAAAGCTTAGCCTATTTTGCATTGAAACTCAGACAACTATTTTGTGCACCTGGCCATGCAACTCGGGACGTGGGCAATCGGAATCCACACCCAGACGGTCCTGCACTTGAAATATGTTTTCAACTCAAATCATTGCAGCAACTGAACCCCTGGCTCTAGCCTCGCCAATCTCATCGGATGGCGTCGGTTTCTCTTCGCCGGGAACCTTGGATCCCCCGACCAACTCAAACCGCACATTCAAACACACACTCAACCTCCGAAAGCACGAAGCCACAACGAAATATGTTGCGGTCCAAAAGCTTCCTCATCCTCATCGAAGATTTCAAAGATATCTCCGGCCTCCTCGTCATCGTCGGCACAATCATCGAGGTCGATCACCTGCCGGGCTTAAGGAAAAGTCTAGATATGCATGGAAAGCCACAGAAATGGTAGATATAGTACTTAATAGTGTTCTTTATGGAAGCACCTCCGAGCTCAGACTCGACTCCGAGGATCTGCGCTCTGGCTTCTCGGGAAGGGAGCGGCCGTTCACGGCCAAATAAATCCCCTTGAGGATTTTCATCTCGTCACTCCTGCGATATCGATATATTATTCGATAAATATGCATGAACGATCAATGGTGATCATGAGCTGCGTGGTCCGGCAGTCCTCGACTGGCTGGTCCGGCAGACTGACTGCACAACATATGCAGCCAGCCATCTTAACCGTGTCCCCTGGAGCTCGGCCCAATCCTTCACCCGCTGCTTGCTACCCTTCGAAACCTTCTGGAGATTGTAGCAGCAAGACAAGTAAAGGACAGCAGCCCGGTGCTCTTTCATCGAGATGAGCTGTTTCCTTTCTTCCACGTTGTGGAAAAGCTGAGCCCCGTAGCATTTCATGACCTCAAAGTTCTTCTTCGACATCATATCATGCTGCGAAATGTTCGTGTCGAAGACATCTACCAGCTTGGTAGCCTGGGCTTCTGATCCAAAATAGAAATAGAAGCAGCTAGCAGACATATAGAGAAGCACACCAGCCGGAACATGCAACTCGAGTCGCCTTGTCTTGCCGAAGCTCCTCCAAGCGGGACTCCACCAGCGGGCGGAGGCATGCCACGATTCTCATTGCCGAATCCTGGGATTCGGAACACGTTCGATCTGCATATCAGGATGTGCATCCGGTGCAATCATATGCTGACTAGTTTCACTCACGAAAAACCGCAGGGGCCGTATAACCTGCTTACCGTGGATTAATTCGCCCTGAGCAGACCGCCGCACACCATCGAGGAACTTGAACTCTGGTTCTGCCATTTTGGCAGCGGATCCTTCACCTCTTGAAACCGTTGAACCCAGCCCGATCGGCATGTGATGCATAGAAGCTTAAGCTGAAGTGTTCTAGATCTGCGATCGGCCCCGAAGACTTGCAGACCGAATTGCAAACATCTGGACTGCCATGCACCCGTGCACATGCTCGCTCGGCCCCGAAAACTGCAGATTCATGAGCTATGCAAGGGCAAGGATTGCAATCGATCACTGCATGCATGGCCACTGCACACTCACAGCACGTACTGGCAGCTGATAGGGGTGGGCGCACCTGCCTTTCGCTTCGACGAACATTCGTGAAGCATGATCCAGCGGCCCGGCATTGTAAAAATGCAGTCAATTATGGAACCGAGCTCTAGACATGATATACCCCATACGGCCCATACATGTACACACGTCTAGCTACAGGCACATGTCTTCGAGCGAGCGAGTGTGTGCCAGATAAGGCGTGCACCTGCACTATAGCCAGCTATATAATATATACATACATACATACATATATATATATGTATGTATCCAGGCTCCACCTGCAGGCGAGCGATCTGTACTGCTGTACATGTACTGCACAGCTACTATACGTAGCTAGTACTATACTAGCTAGTACCGAGACATGCTGTATACACACATTTGCTCGAGGTTCCTCCTGCAGAACACGGCGGATGTAGACGTTACACGTGCATAAGCTCATTCGCGAGAACACACAGTACAAAAGCAGCACACACCTGTACATATTATATACAATAATTATATTACAAACGAATTCCCAGACCTACACTAGTACTAGTATTACTAGTACTAACCACCGACCCACAGTACTAGTACTGCTGCGGTACACACACACACACCACACACCACACACACACACACACACACACACACACACACACACACACATACTACTTACACTTACAGTACTTATATACAGTACCTACACTTGTACTTACACACCAACGTGCAGGCACACACACACACACTTACACACACACACAGGAAAGAAGACGGACATATATAAAATATTGTGACACAGTAAAGACAAATAACCCCGGCCCAGTACATCGAGACAAAGTAAAAATCAGGTCGATATAGGTGTCGAAACCCTCGAAAATCCATCGACGGCAAACCCAACCCATCAAGAGCGAGGTCGGGAAACCCCAGGCAAACCCAACCCATCAAGAGCGAGGTCGTGAAAGGCAAACCCAACCCATCAAGAGCGAGGTCGTCAAACCCCAGGCAAACCCAACCCATCGAGCGAGGTCGTGAAACCCTAATGCAAGTCGTACAATAATGCCGTTTCACTTGATGATCAATTGCAAAAACGTGTCATTAATCCTTCGAGATCGCCATACCCAAACCCATCAATAGGCATGGCTTCAAACCCCTCCAAATCTCAAGTAACGTCTGGGCACAATGTGTCCGCTCAGCACAATTTTGCCCAAGTATCGGCTATGACGATACATGGAGCCTTTGGGCATACGACCTCTGATGGTCCGGGCGACACTTTGCCCGGAACTGCGGAAGCAGATCCCCCTGCCTCAACCCAGACGGCTGAGGTGCTTTCCACGGATGGGCCGCCCTCTTCTTTGCCTACACCTACCCTGGAGGAGGCGGAGGACTTCAACTATGTGCCGTGGAACTTTTCGCAGCTCACCGAGGCGGAACTCTGGCAGGCGTCCGCATTTTTCGAAGATTGGTTGGGATACGACAGGCAAGAGTGGCTCGACTTTTGGATCACTTTGCGGCATTCCCAAGGGACTTCATCTACTTTGCACCCTGCTTCGGATGGTGCTGATGGGTCCACTACGGATGCTCCCCCAGATCCTTTGCCGTCCACGACTTCTACAGATTCGTCCCCTCCTTTACCTTCGTCGGCAGCTTCGGGGAATGCCACAACACAGGACGGCAGTTCTTTGCCGCAAGCCTCGGCATCAGCAAGCGGCGATCGGCCGCGTACTTTGCCTCACAACCAGCGCATATTCCGCACGGAGTGGGGCGAAGATCAGTTGATCCAACGGGCAACGGTATTTTGGTGCCGAGAGGGCTGCACCAGCTGCTCAGGAGCTGGTACGTGCGGCGCTACTTTGCTCGATCCTTATCATGCACACGTCCATCGTTGCAGACTGTGTTATGGAGAATACCGTCGACGGCAGGGGCGCAATACTTTCTGCAACGCCTACGGCCAGTAGCTAATTTCTTTACCGCCAGACGCGTCCTCCAAGGTGCTTTTTCTGGCGGTGAAGTCCTTAATTGCGTCAATGCTGGGTTCCCACGGCTGATACTTTACTTCAGCTTCTTGCGTCTATATATGTACTTTGCTTAGCATTGCACGGGCCTCCGGTCCTATTTTTTTTTTTGCTTTGCGTCTGGGACCCAGCAGCACGCGTACCGACCTACTTTGCTTCCTGAGAAAAGATTCTGCGTGCTTTGCAAATTTTCTTACATGTTCATTATCATGTTCAGCTGCCAGCCACAGTGCGACTGTCAGGTGATGGATTCTTTATCCCCGAGATCTACGGTGCAGCAGTTGGCCACAGCTTTGCAGTTGTCGATCCCAGCATCTGCAGCATCTCTTGGGGATTTGACTTTGCTTTCGTTTGGCCTTGGCACTGTGAACCTGGAAGGTCTCGATGCTTTTCTCACGGCCAAAGGGTGGTCGCCGGACGCTGAAGAGATTCCGGTCATCAGAATGTTGTGGGTGCAAGCACATAAAGTCTGTACTTTGCCGTCAGTGACCTCGGATTCTTCGGCGAGTACCCTGCATTCCACAGGGGCTGAAACTTTTCCTCCCAAACTTTCCACAGAAACCACGCTACAGTTGAGGCGTGACTTTGAGAAAGCATATCCCTCTGAAGTTCTTGATGACACCAACTTCCCGAGTGCACGCCTACTTTCCCTTGCTTACACTCAAAGGCAAATCGGACTGGAAATTCATTCCTTGGAAGCACAGACTTTCGAAACTTCAGGAGGAGGACTATCACTCGGCTCGTCCCAAGAAGATGGCGAAATTTGAGAGCTTTACAGACGTCCTTTACGACGACGTGCCCTCACGCAACATCGGTGAGAACATGGGGCTGTACGGGATCAGCAATTTACTTTCCATACATTCCAACGCCATTGCACTCGCGGACATTGCCCATCTCGCTACTTTACGTGCCTATGAGCGTAAGTTCTTGAAACATGTCCAAGCCCGAACAGATCCCACTTTGCGTCCACCGAACGCACAGGAGTGCGAAGCGGCTGATCGACGATGTTGGGAGGTCGTCGGTCAGCTCAGGCAGGAGGGTTGGTCGGTTGATGATGCTTTGCATGAGTTCACTGATGTTCGCGCGGAGCTCGTTGCTTTGCTCGCTCCCCGTCTTGCTCCTTTCAAAGGGAAGAAAGGAGATGGCAAGGGCGGAAAAGAACCCTGGAAGGGCCAGCCCCACAAAGGGGGTAAGGCCACGGGGGGCAAAGGCGGTGCAGGTGCTGGAAAGGGCAGGTCGAACTTTACCAAGGGCACCCATGCGTTTGAGTGGGCGAGCAAGGCGAAGATCAATGGGGAGCAGAAGGTACTTTGCATGGCATACAGTACCCACAAAGGTTGTACGTCTGCCAATTGCAAGTTTGAGCACCTTTGCCCCGTGATCTTGGAAAATGGTAAGATTTGCCTTCAGAAGCACCCTGCTTACCAGCACGCACAGAAGGCAGGCTCTTGAGGGGGACCGGGCCTGGAAGATGCAGGTAGTGGAGGCCTGGTTCCAGTTACTTTGCCTGCAGTTGCTCCAGGAGATGCTCATTCTCCGCAGCCCCGCGATCCCCTTCCGGATCCCGTGGCATCGAGTGCTCCTCAGACCTTTGCACGCGCGGTCTCGGAACCTGGCTCAGGCTTTTTCCTGGACATCAACGGAGGGGTTCGTCGCCCACTCTCGGCAGCTTTTCTTGGAGCGGGCTGTGATACCTTTTCAGTCGCTCCCGAGGCTTTTCCAGAACGTGACCTTTTGCAGGATGATTTCTTCTTCGCTTTGCTCAGGGTTTGTCACTCTGGGCAGGTCGCTCTTTTACACATTCTGCTTTTGGCCAGCGACTTTTCTTCGACTCTCTTTGAGCGTATGATCCAATTAGCACATGCTTGTTTTGCAGCGGGATCCCATGTGTTGCTTTCTCAGCATTCTTCTTCTGCAGTTTGGAGCAATCCTTCATTGCTTTTTCTTTTGCGACAAATGAGCTCCGATATTATTTTCTGGGATCCGCTTCAATTTGGGTGCAACTTTTCGAACTTCGGGATTCCGGCGGCATCCTTTTCTTCTTTGCAGCATTTGGCGACATCCTCTTCGGCCACCTCTTCGACGAAGGCCCCTGTGGAGCCTGTTGATTTTGCACTCAGCGCGGACTTTGTGCTTGCGGTGGCCAAAGGTTCTCTGCATCTTTTCTCTTCGCGAAGTCCGGAACCTGAAGATTTGCATCTGAGTCAGATTCCTTTCCTGAGGCAGGTCAAGCAGACGTTCGAGCCTCCCTTTGCGAACCAGGACGGTGCTGGGATTTACTCAGTACCTGATTGGAGTGCTCCCCCATCAGGGGCACGGGATGTACTTTGCGGCCTCAGATCCAAGCTTCGACAGTGGCTTTTTGATAACAAGATTCCACAACGATTGCGGATTCATGCTCTGCAGCATAGCTCGGATCCTCTTTTCCAGGAGGGTGAGATTCATTGTCTCAGGCAACTTTTCCAGACCTGGGTTTCTGAACAAGGGTCGGAACATGTAGTGGACTGGACGATCCCCGAGCATCAACCTTACGCATTGCATGCCCTGAAATTCTTTTCGGCGTTTGTCAAGGACAAGGACGATACCCTTTGCCAATGCTTGATCGATGGTGTCCCCACGGGGTATGATGGTGATATCCCGCTTTCCAAGGTCTTCATACCGCACCCCACGGCACCGGAGCTCGAACACCAGCTTTCCATCGCCAAGGACAACTGGCAGAGCGCTAACAATGATCCTGATACTTTGCGGGAACTTGTGCAAGCTGAGGTTCAGAAAGGATGGCTGTTCGAGATGCCTTCTTTACAGGCGGCCCAGGAGTTGGGGGGAACGCGTCGCGGTAGGGAAAATGTCCCTCGTACTTTCCCCACCGAGGGCTCCAAGACTGGTGGTCGACTCTACGGTCTGTGGTACCAATGACGCCTGCTCCATCCCAGAGCGTTATACTTTGCCAGGCCTCCAAGATGTTCGCGACTGCTTTCCTTTACGCCATCATGCAGGCCTGTGTGAAGGTTTCCACCTGGATGTCAAAGCCGCTCACAAAACAGTGCGCGTCAAAGAGTCGGACCAGGGGTTGCTCGGTGTCACTTTGCCAGGCCCAGAGGGGGAAGATGATAAGCTTTTATTTTATCGGGTTTGTCCATTCGGTGCAAACTTTTCAGCTTGGTGGTTTCAACGACTGGCTGGCATGCTTTTGCGACTGATGCATCTTTGGATATTTGTCCGTCACGCTCTTATGGGATATGTCGATGATTTTCTTTTCATCCAGGACCGAGAGTGCATTCTTTATTCGGCTTCACTTTTACTTTGCTTTACATCCATATTTGGAGTGCCCCTGAGCTGGGCCAAGTTGCAATTGGGGAGCTGTATAACGTGGATTGGCTGGACGTTCAACTTTACCAGCGGCTCTTTTCATATTCCTAAAGAGAAAGTTGACAAGCTTTTCCACTTGATACAGGAGGCTACACGATCCAGGAGGGTTACAAGTGCCCTGTTGCACAAACTTGTGGGACTCCTGCAGTGGTTCTGCCAGCTTTACAAATCCTGTAAGCCTTGGTTGGCTGCGCTTTTCTCGGACCTCCACAGACATTTGGCTTCTCAGTACAGCATATCACAGGGACTGTGGCCTTCTTTGTCAAATTACCTGGATGATGATCTCCGCTTTACATCCATACCCCCGGGCACTCAAGTACCACTTGGAGGCAAGCTTTTGGAGGCCCGGCACACGGAGATCAAAACCAAGCAAGATCTTTGCAAAGTTCGTACCTCCAACCGCATTTGGATGCGGGTGACAAACCCAAAATCAGACCGACGTTCGCTATCGCCGGCCTCGAGAACTTTTCTGGCGTTTTGGAAGGAATGGTGTCAGCGGCCTCAGCCTTACACCGCTCTTTCTATTCCTTTACGGCTCCAGGTCGAGGCCTTTGCGGATGCAAGAGCAGATGGTGAACTCATTGGCATCGGCGGATTCATAGCTTTTCCGTCGGGGAAGTGCATTTGGTTCTCTCAGGCCTGGCAGCTTTCAGACTTGTCCATTCTGGGACTTGAACTTCGCCGACCTGCACATAAAGATATTGCCTGTTATGAAACTTTAGCGCAGATCGCTCTGGTACACTTATACAGGTCGGTCTTTCCTTCAGGTCGGGTGGCAGTGCGTCTTCCTTCCTTCTCCGACAATGCATCGACTGAGGCTCTGGGGGCTAAACTTTACACCTCCAAATGGCCTCTTGGAGCGTTTGCCCAGAAACTTTCCCTGATATCAGCAGCGTCGGGGATTGAACTGGATATATCTCACATCGCTGGTGAGAAGAATGATGATGCAGATCTTTTGAGCAGATGGAATCAAACAGATGCTTTACCAGACAGGTGGCGGAAAGAAGACCGGGTGGACTGCTCTCTCAACTTCATCTGGTTCTTTCGCAAGGAGGTCATGGTGTGGCCCTCCCACTTTTCCTTGCCTGCAAGCACGCAGGAACGGCATGTGTCAGATGATGATCTATGACAGTGCCCGCAGGATCTTTGCCCGGGGCCTTTTAGATGGGCTGCTTTACTTCCGCAGGATGTTTGCCCGGGGTGCAGCGTTTCACTGAGCGAGCGCGTCAAACTCTCACTTTTCACTTTGGGTAACCAGAAGGCGAGACTCTGACTTTGCCGGTTAAACTGTGGGTCTAAACTCTCGAAGCTTTGTTGTAGCTTTTCTTTGCTTAGCTTCAGCTTACTGCTTCAACTTACTTCTCGCGTTTCCGGCAAAGTCAAAACGTCTCTCTGCTTGCTTTGCTCTGTAGCCCGTAGCGTGTCTTGGGTTCGGTAAAGTTGAACGTTTCATGTGTTTACTCATGGGTGTTTTACTTTACCGCGTTCCAAACACAACATTTCGGCCCAAGACACGCGTGCTTCAACACAGCATAAGGCTTCGCTTCATGCTTTAAAATTTTGACCCACCCGCCCAGCCCTATGTGATGCTTCGGTAAGCTTCTTAGCCTTATGTATTTCGTTCTTTTGTTGCTTTACTTTGGGCGAGGGGGGTCTAAACTCTCGAAGCTTTGTTGTAGCTTTTCTTTGCTTAGCTTCAGCTTACTGCTTCAACTTACTTCTCGCGTTTCCGGCAAAGTCAAAAGGTCTCTCTGCTTGCTTTGCTCTGTAGCCCGTAGCGTGTCTTGGGTTCGGTAAAGTTGAACCAGGAAATTCAGTCGGCCAATGCAGACAAGGCTTTGTCGATTGATTCGGATGGCAACCTTAAGGTCACTTCAAAGCTTGACAAGTTCGAACATTGTGACACGGGGTCCGAGTGGACCCTTCGCCAGGCTTGGGCGCGAAGGAGCCTTGCCTTCGATCTTGCTGGCCTTGCGACATATCAGGCTATGGAGGCTTGGGTGCATAAGCTCTTCGTGACGCTTGAGAGGCCTTCACCTCCTGGCTACCACGGAGTGGCGCTGACTCAAATCGTGGCAGCCGATCGTCACTTGTTCACTTTGGCCGCTTCCAACCTGCTGGGAGCCCTTGCCGCCGCCCCTGGCCGCGTCAAACCGCTTGATGAACAGCTTAAGCTCCTGAGCGACCACAGTGATGTCTTGCAGTTTCTCAATCACCTGCCTGCCCATGAGTTCGCCGTCTAATCCTCTGAAGCGCTCCGAGAAAGGTGACACCCCCAAAGGCCCAGGCAAAGGCAAAGGCAAGAAGGGCAAGGATCGTGGCGCTTCGGGTTCCATTACCGTGCCTGACGGGGCGGTCACTAAGGTGACTGACAAACCTGTGTGCTTCGCTTTCAACTGCGGCTCCTGCAAGTTCAAGGTGTCCAAGAAAGGTAGGTGCGGGCGAGGCTTTCACCTGTGCTGGTGGAAAGGCTGTGGAGGTGCCCACCCGGGGCACGAATGCACGAAGGCTCGCGCCAATCAGTGAAAACCCACAGGGACCGCGACGCACCCTGTGGAATCCCAGTCGTCGCAGTGCCAGGCAAACGTGCTTGCAGAGCCTAGGGGCCCTCCTTTGCACCCTGCCGAAATGTTTGCAACCTCGCTTTTGGAACTCCCTTCGGCCAGCCGTGTAGACTTGCTGAAGCTTTTTGACCTTCTCCCTCACGAGGATGCGCCTACTGCCGGGCGTGCAGAAGCTGGAGGTTTTTCTTTCGGCACCGGCACCTGGGTGCATGGGAACCTTGTGGGATTGCGAAACAACTGCCGAGTTTTCCCTTTGAGCACTAAAGTTTTCACTCGTTTTGTGTTGCAGGAGTGCCCCAGCCACTCATTTTCTGCCATAGTTGTCCTTGACAGCGTTTGCACTGTTGCGCACCGTGACACTCACAACTTGGAGTCGGCTCGCAATGCTGTTTTCGGGCTTTCCGATTACTCAGGAGGTGAAGTCTGGGTCCAGAATGCTCAGGGCCACACGCCTATGGAGGTCAATGGCCAGACGTTGCTTGGTGATGCTTTGCCAACGCTCCCTGGCCCGGCCGTCTT